ATAATCGACGTTTTGATATAATTTATAAAGAATTCGAATCGGAAAAATTTTGTTATTTATCATTTTTATTTAAACCATTACAAAGACTTTTACATTATGAATATTTATTTGAAAGTATGAAAAAATCTTTTTTTTTGTATGATTTTATTTATTCATATTTTGATTATTTTAGAATTACTTATTTATTATAAGAATAACAATTGTGAAAATGAATATCACGATTGTTATGGAGTTTTTATTAAAATTCAAGATCTTATTGAAAATTTTACTGATTCATTAAAAATACTTGTATGAAAAATTCTATTTATTTATCCAGAATTCAACATAAGTTTTTCTATTCTATAGTTAAATCGGTAAAAATTAATTGAATTTCAACATGACGTGATCTAATCGGTGTTGAGAATCTTTCTAATCAATATGATCGTGTAAGTGAAAATATATTATTGATTTAAAAAAAATTCGAATTAAAATTTTATATTTTTAGCAATTTATATGTGAAAGTTGTCTACAAAAATTATCATGAAAAGCCTATTAAACAACGAATGTTTTTCTTAGTAAATTTATTCTTTTTTTTCTTCGGAATTATTTAATAAATTTTGTTTTTTAATATTTGTTTAGTTTTCTGATGTATTATTCTATTGTGCTCGTAGTTCCAGTCCAATACTTCAATTTAAATTACATGGAGAACTTCCATTAAGAACAATGATAGTTAGTATTTTTTTTTTAGTATTTGTTATTAATGTAAATATAAGAATTCATTATTTTTGTTTTGTAGGTTGAAGATAATAATGAATATATTAAAACTCCTATTTATTCTGATAATCGATCATTACTTGTAGCAGCAAGGTATGCAATATTTTCAATCTTTATTATTTAGTTTTTATAATAAAACTATTCAAAATTATGTTGAATAAAGATTCTCAAGCTAAACTATTAATAGGAAAATATTAGACTAAGTTTTTTATTTCATTTGTAATATAGCATAGTAGTGTAACCAAAGGAAAAAGAGGGAATCAGTCCGTCTTCTTCGAGAAAAAATTTCTTGAAGGAGAGCATGAAGAGCTAAATTTTTGGCATATCAAAGCTGGTTTTTTTTTTTTTTAACTCTGTTGGTCCAGCTTGGAGTCTGGTCTTTCTCATTAGGGAATTCCTGGCTACGTGCCTGTTATAACAGCTAATAAATTTTGAAATATTAATTTAGGAATATGTAGGCCTGTAAGACACGGGAAATATTCAAAGAATCTCCTATATTTGATATTGCAACTTTTAATTCTGGACATATTACAAAATATATTATTCTATCTGTTAGAATAATATATTTTACAAACACAAATAGACAATATATTTTCTTTCTCTGATTTAGTTCCGAAATTGAAAAGAATAAATGATTAGATGATTTAAAATGATAACAAAAATCAATATACAGCTACAATAAAATACAATCGTAAAAACAGAATAAAAAACAAAAAATCAAATGATAAAGTTTTCTTTGTTTTTCTTCTTAAGCATCATCTGAAAATCTTCAATATTCTTTAATTGGTGCACTTGAAGATAATGAACAAAATCAAATTGATCGTTCAGGTATTCAACATCGTGCTAATACAACAATGCATGTTTGTTTGCATAGAAATTTATTTGTATCAATGAATGATCACAGAGAAGCAATAAAAAATCAATCAAGTGGATATTTATTATGTAAATAAGAAAATTCGAATGATTGGCAAAAATTATGGGTTGTTTTTTTACAAATTTTTGTTTATTCTTTTACATAAAACTTATCAAGTAATTTATTAAATATTTTTATTATAGGATGAATTAATTTTATTTTAATTAAGAATGATTTTCCATTGACATCATTACCATTACTTGTTTATCGTAGTTCAATACCATCAGAAAATGATGATGATGATGTTAATAAAGATTTTGTATTTAAATTACAATTTAAAAATCATGTTTATTTTTTTCGTGCAGAAAGTCAGTATGCATTTGATCGATAAATAATAATTTAAATTTTTTTTATTCAATTAATATTTTTTTTCAATTAGATGGATGGATGTTGTTTCAAGTGCAACAACAACATCGACTAGTCAATGAATTTTACTGATAAAATCTCAACTATTTTTGTTTTTTTCTTCTGACAATAGGAAAAGGGTTATTATATTTTTTTTTCTCTGTAGAGACATTTATATTTGTGGTGATTGCTCTAACAATATTCATGATTTTCTTTGTTTTTGTACAAAATTTTGTTGTTGTATTGTTTGAATGCTATTAGACAAATTAAATTTTTATTTCTCTTTTCTTCTACAATAATATTCAAATATAAGAAAAGATTATCTGGAATGCAAATATTTCTATTGATTATTCTTTATATCTATTTGTTTTCTAAACAACCATTGGTTCAAATATTGGAGTATTATTAATAATACTTTGAAAATCAAAACATGTTAAATCAATTGAATGATATTTAAAATCACTTAAATATTCTGATATAGGACGACCAATAATAGCTGGTACATGTTGCAAACCATGTCTATTTGAACCATTGGCAAAACTAAATTTTTTTGTGTAGGTGAACCAATGATAAAACTTTAAAAAAATAAAAAAAGGATAAAAGAATATTATTTGAAATAATTAAGAAAAGCTGTTAGCGCAATACCTACGGGATTAAAATGTGAAACACGATATAGTTATTGTGTCTGATGGCATGGAAATAGTTTAGATCTATGTCTATTATGGTCTGGTCTGTGAGACTGCCGATCATAGTCTAGATGTTATTCACAAAGTTGTCTGTCACGGTCTATGACAGTCTTTGAACTATGTCGTTCACAGTCTGTGATGGGTAATTAATTAATTAGACGCTAATTAATTAATTAATTAAGATGTCGGTCACGGTCTGCAGGAGGGATCTATATCACTCTGCCAATTCCTCTTTCTACCAATAACATTCAGCTAATTGGCAATGTGTCACAGACATCTCACCCAGACTCTCTCTTTAAACTAATTTTTTCTTATTAAAAAAATGATGTATATTTACAGTGGACAAGTATTATTTTTTTTAAAATAATGTCTCATTTGACTGCATTCTGGATTTTGAAGAAGCGATAAGCTATAAACCATTAAGAAAATAACAAAATTATCTTTAAGTTACATTCGAAAACATTTTCCAAAGTTAACTTAGGAAGTTCAATTGGTAGTGTCAGTCAATTGGCAGAAAGTCATGTGACATTGTGCCAATTAAAAAACAAAAGTTTTTCAGCGCAGCCCTTTGGGGCTAAAATGTGGAACTCACATATTCTAACTGTTTGTCACTAAGAGTAGCTATATATAATTGGTAGTCTATTTGTAACGAAAGGAGCTTGAAAAGTTCGACTATTAACTAATGTTGATCTGGCGTCTATTCGCAATTAGTGGCAACTATCTGTAATGGGGGTGAAGGCTTTAAAAAACTTCAAGTAGTAACCAATTTTGATATGGTGCCTATTGGTAACCAACGGTAACTGTCTGTAATGGGAGCCTGTTTGTAAGAGGGGGGGGGGGGGGAGGGGTGCGGTCGGGAGGAGCTGAAAAACTTTGCCTTAAAACTTACACTCACATTTTTCTATGTCAGTTCCACAAAATTTATTAATTGGCAGAGATTTTGTGACGCAGTACCAATTTCTGGAATTGGCAGAAAGCGGAATTGGCAAAAAAGGGTTTTTCCTGCAGTGGGGAGGGCGGCGGGGCGGCATTGTTTACCCTATACACTTCAACACTCTCTTTTAGATCGTGTTTCACAAAATTGATTATGTACTTCGGCATAATAGTAAAGTAAGTTATTTAATAATAATAATAATAGAAGAACATTTTTTGAGAAATTGATTATGGTTTTTTGTAGCCATCGATTGATAATCAACGAAAAGTTCATTTAGCCGATTATGGTGTTGAATTATAAATTAAAAGTACTGAATATAAAACCACTGATGATTCCAAAGTGGGTGCTTTATATTTTGATTTGTGGTACTTTTCTTTGCAGTAGATAATTAATTGAGAATTTTTCTTCGAAATTCAGAAAAAGTAAATGAAAACAAAACTTCTTATATATTCATATAAAATAAAAAATAATCATAAGTCAAGAATGGAGTTCCTATTGTAATCTTGAAATTGGTTCGAAATTGAAATTTTTAATTTAATAGAAAAATCTGTGTTCAAAGTTCTTTGAATGTAGAAAAGTATTTTTTTTTTCTATCAAGTTTGTCAATGAAAATTTTAGATTCGTGATGATCAATTGAATGAAACATCATCAAAATCCGGTGATGAAAAACAAGAAGAACAAATTCATGATTTTGTTTTTCCTAAACTTAACGGTTTTTAAATGATATTAAATTTTCTTTTTTTGTATTAAATCTCTTTTGTTTTTTTTTCTATTTCTTTAAAGAACTTTATCCTGATAAATAAAGTGAATTAAATGATTTTTGTACATATCTTCTTGATAATTCAAATCTAATGACACCACTTAAAGCATGGCAAATGCAAGATCTTAGTTTACAATGTGCATATCGTGCATTAAGTGAAAAAACATCTGAAGAAACATTTAATACATTAATTGAATTATCAGAAAATTTTCCATCATGTGCTCGGTAAAAGAAAATCAAAGTTTTCATTTTTTGTTCTTAATTTATCTATTTTAGTCTTTTATCAAAAGTTAAA